CTGGCTCTGGCTGCTCCATTTGGCCTGGGTCCAGAGCAGCTCCCCCGTCTGTGGTCTGTGATCCTCTGCCCACCTGCAGAGGCGGCCGGGCCTCCCGCCCGGTGCCCGGTTTTCGCCCCGGGGGTTCTGTGCCCCCCGCCCCCCCGGCGGGGGCGCCAGCCACTGACACCCCGTGCCTGGTGGCTTTGCTGCAGGCTGAGCCGCTGGGAGTGAGCTGGAGGCACGGCTCATTGAATGGCTTCTCCTCACAGCCAGCTTGGGAGCCCCAGGCACAGTTGCTGCCTGCGGTGTCAGGGCTGCTGGCTTTGGGGCTTGGTAACCCAGCGTCCCTCCTGGGAGAAGGCTTGGGGCGATGCTGGTGTCTGGAGACATGCCTTGCCTGGCATTTTGTCAGGGCACCAGCCTCCTGGCCTTCTGGCCACTTCATTTCCCAGCCTGCTGGCTTTTCGGGTCCTAGTCATGGATGAAGCGTTGGCTCTAGTGACAGCCCGAGAGGTCCCCAGGCCAAGGGCCGAGGAGGGACTGCTCACTGCAGAGGCGGGCTGGGCTGGCTTCCTTGGGTCCAGCTTTGCTGCCTCGTCCTGGAGCAAGTGTCAGTCCTGCACAGCCGAGTCCTTCCATATCAGCCACTGGGAGTGGGCACGGTCATCCCAATTGCTGACGGTCACCCTGTGACCTGAGCAGTCCTCACCACTCTCCTTCATGCTCTCAACCACTTTTGCTTCAGGGCTGGGAGGACCCATCCCTTTCCCTGCCCAGGGCTGCCCTCCCCTTCCCTCCCTGGCTGAAAGGAGCCTTGCTCCTGACGCAGCCCTGCCCACTCAGCCGAATAAATGATCCCTTCTCAAGGACTGCTGCTGGAGGAGAGAGTGGAGAACGGCGAAGCACGCTGCCTGCCCGTCTCTTGCTGCCCGTGGAGAACGGCGAAGCACGCTGCCTGCCCATCTCTTGCTGCCTGTGGTGAGACGGGAGCTGGCTGTGGCTCTGGGGATGCTCCCATGCAGTCTAGAGCCTCCCTTCTCTTTTGTGGCTGGTCCCAGAGTGCAGCAGGGTCAAGGGAGGTTGGGGAGCTGAGAGAGGGCTCCCCAGGGCTGCCCGAGGTGGGTGTAAGCAGGGTCAGCCCCTGACTCTCACAGCCCTCGTGGGTTGCTGATGTCCAGAAGTCTGCAAACCAAAGAGGGCTGAGGAGGGAGCAGCAAGGCAATGTGTTAGCCAGCCACAGAGGTTTCATGAACACCATGCTGTGCAGGAGAGCCTCTCTGCAGCCCCTTTCCTGGCAGCATGGGGAGCGGTCCAGGGGGATGCAGGCAGTCCTGTGAAGCCTCAGCTCGCTTATGCAGGGATGTGCGACATGGATGTTTCCCTTCAAATCTGACAGAAAAATTGCAGTAGATGGCCACTTATTTTTGCAAACAATTTGCAAGGAATTTTGCCGTCTCGCCTGATCGGTTGTGTATTGCTTTGTTTTCAAATCACTCTCTGATTCACTGGCTCAGCAGATATCTGCTCCAAATCCCTGCACTTGGCATGCTCTGGGACCAGTCCCGCCCCATGCTTCATCTCCTCTCCTTTGTCTTGTTCAAAATCCAGGGAGTTCAGGGTGCTCGACACCCTGCAGGGCCGAGGCTGGATTCTGGATGGGAACCTCACCTTTAGCAGCTGGTGCGTGCAGGCAAGAGGGGCTCGTGGTGGAGCACAGTGGAGTCTCACCACATCCCCTGGGACGTACGGCTGCGCATACAGCGAGTTGCTGAACAGAGCTCCCGTTCTAGCTTTCGTCTGGTTTCTGCTCGCGAACAAGTGAGCTGCAAATCTTGTCGAGGGGTTAGAAAAGTGGTTTGCGTCACCAAATACACCAAAGTGTATTTGCATACACTGCAAACAGAGCTACTTTGGGGTGGGATGTGTAGGGGTCTGCTGCAGTTGTTTCACAGGAGGGAAAAGGTAAAGGAAAGGGGAAAATGTCAATATTTCAGCTTGCTGAGGAGTGCTGGGCAGAATAAGGAGGTTGGAAAGTCCTGCTCCAGAGAGTGAGGATGCCGAAAATCCTTGGGAGATGGAAAAGGAGCAAAAGGGGAGTGAACCCTGTTCTTTCATACCTTTTCTCGGGTTGGTATTTCAGCTCTAAGGATTCCCTCTGGGCTGCATGTGGCCCTGAGGACCAGAGAGGACTTTTTTTTGCAGCTTCCATCTCTCCTCGAACATGGATTAAATGTGTGTCAGCTCTAGCGTGAGCTGTAGGATCTTGGGCTGAGGAACTTCTTTTTGCCTGGTGTTTTCTTGGCCCTCAAAAAAATGAAGTTGAGTCTTGCCAAGAACTTACTCATCTTACAGACGTGTGCACGTTGCGGTTCTTAAAACATGTGTTTGAGGCGCTGCTTGCCAAAAACGAGCTGCAGCTTGTAATGGGGGTCTTGGCACTCTCACGCAAAGACCAGCATTCACAGGCTCCGCACCAGTGGAGCTGGGTTCTTGCGTTGGGGTCTCTCTACAGAGTTTCAGAGACTGATACAGATCAGAAGGATTAAAATCCCAGGCTTTAGTTGTGATTTAAATCAGCCAGCCCATCACCTGGATTCAGTAATTGATTTTCTTCTATTTTTGCCCTTTTTTTTTTTTACCTGTTTCCCTGAAAAAAGGTCAAGTTTTACTGACCAGCACCTATCAAACCAAGTGCAGCTCTCCTTACCGCTGCCAAATTGTTAAATCTGGTTATTCTTTTATTCATCAAATGCCCTATATTTGCTGCATTTATTTTGATCGATTATGTAACATAATATGCCTTTAGTCTTCATTTTTAGATATTTGTTACATTAGAAAAATGGTGAATTACTATTTGTTCTTAAAGAGATGGTGATTAAATTATTACTTACGATTTGAGTTGCGACTCTTTTGGATGAAAATTGGAATGCCATGTTGAAGTACCCCAGCAGTAGTTTGAATTGGTTTTATTTGTAAAATCCTGTTTCCCTTGCATGTACTCAATACAGAAGGAAAAGTAAATTTCAGAATACATTTTAGTTAAAAACACCTGGTGCATGAAACCAAAGGAAGAAGTGATTGGTGAGTTGGAGTGTTTCTGGAAACCACCCTTTCAAGATTTTAGAATTAGCACATC